ATTTGTCAAACGTTCGTTCTCTCGCCGCAATAAATCGAGTTGACAATTCCGATCCTTTTTGGAAAGAGAGTCTAGTACAGGATACAAACAACTTGCATTGCAGTTATTTATTGCATAAGAAACGTCTATATCGACGATAGTTTGAAACAAATCGCGAAAGCACAGAGATATTGAACATCGAAAAATCTTCAATTCAAACAGTTCAAGATTATCACAATTGTAATACATTCATAAGTTTTATATGTATGTATGTTAATGGATATGCAGTTTGAATGAAAAATTTGTTGCGCTGCATATCAAGGTGAATAAAAATACATGAAAGAAATATTATAATAGAAATATATCGTGATTGTGATAAGAAAATATCAGAATTTAAGATAAATGTTGAGGTATACACCTTTTGTTGTCAGGTCACGTACACTATTTTGAACGCTGACTTCGAATCGTAAGTTAACACTAGAATGATCGATGATGCCATTTGACACCGTTAATCATTTCAATTGTTTTCTTTTTTTTGTATCAGATAATAATATATAAAAATGAGAACAGAATATTAAAAATATGTAAATATAATACAAATAATAAAGTCATGTATAGAATTAGATAAGACCTTTGACGTCTCTGCCATATTAGATCTGTTTTCTTTTGTAGCTAAACTAGTACACACTTTTAGAATTGAAAGTAAAATAGATATATGTATTTGATGAAAGCGAGAAAGAAAGTTCTAGTACAGAAATAACAAACAGACCTCTTGTAATTGCAAACATTTTCCTGACGGTTGTATATAAAATTAATTATATGAAATATTTCTGTACATATTTTTCGCTACTTTTTTTCTGACATTACATATTAAAATTCAGTAATGTCGTACGCTGTGCGATAATAACGTGTATATTAATTTATTGAAAATATGCCGAAGCCGAAATTGTTATTAGGAGAAGCGTCAAGGATTGCATCGCCGATAATTGACTCGTCTGCGCCGAACCGTGTCTCATTTCCGTGTGTATGTCGGAATTGAAATGGATCGCGCATCGTTTTATGACTAACGCCGCGGATGTATTCACTGTGGCTATTTATTGATCCACAATCCAGGCGAACGACGCACTGGAAAGTGTTTTGGTATAATGCTTTTGCGTTCGGCATTAATTTCATTCATGATCACAAATCTTCAACGACCGTTAACACATCACATTTGGCCGAGATATTTATGCATAATAATCTTGGATTTCTCAATAATGAATCACGAAATAAAACTGACATCGCATATTTTTTTAGTGGACAAATCCTTAATTTGCATGAACTGCTGTAATGAAATATATTTCACTCTCGACATCCCTTTTATCTTATATTAAAATTCTTGCAATATTTTCTCCTATTTCATATTTCATACTCTGCGTCTTACTTTTACAGTTAATATTTTATGTTAATTCTTGAATCTTATATTTCCTCTTCTTGAATTTTATATTTTTCCTATGGCTTTACATAATTCTGATTACATTTAAGGTTCTTTATGGTTGTGTTATATCTGTACGCGTTTTTTACATTTAAATAAATGCAAAAAAAGTAGACAATTTTTGTAGAAGCGTTACTTTGAATAAATCGAAAGGTCAATTGGTTACAAATGTAAAACGAAGTGAAGAGTGTATTTGCGCTTTGGATAGCAAATAGGAAGGGTCAGAAAGGGAATCGGGAAACAGTAATTTCTTTCAGAAATATTACTCGTTAAGAGCTCGATGTAGCCGCCCGTTTCAGTTACCGCGTATAATTTCTCGATGAAGGCCGATTTGTCGCAGATATAGTTGACCTCGTTTCTTCTTGCTTCGCACGCTGGCAGAGCGCCGCTTTTTATTGCATTTCTATATCCATGAAATACAACCTCCGTTCAAGCTCACATTCGATACGTACTGTATTGGCTAATTAATTTCGCGGTTTTTATATAATACTACTTAATAATTAGAAAATCTTCGCCATTATCCCGTAATCTACTGTGAGTATGTGAGCGAAAGGCCATAAGTCAAATTAATATCAAAATAACATTGATTCAATAATCTCCTCTCGATCAAATTGATCCTTTCATGAACGTAAAGTATGTAGTAAGGTTTCGAAGCTTTTGTTAAAAATAATTATAAAAGCTCAACCGTGCGCTTTATTTGATGAAATATTAATAAAGCAGAAAAAAATTGTAATAATTCATTATTTTATTCGTTATTTCCTTGGAAATAACAGGAAAATTTGATTACCATTTCATGCGCGTATGTATTTGTGCAGCGTTCTTGTCTTTTACGATATATTTTGTGCTTTTGTAATATTACAAATGGCCACCACGATTAAAATACAAGCAAATGAAAATGATTGCGCGCTGTTATGCTTTCAAACATTTCGTGGAATTTCGTAATAAGCGAATAAAATCATATATCTCGAACGCGACTGCGCAAATTTCACATTATGAGCTAAACGTGGTTAAAAAAATATACATTAAATGATTCGAGACACGCGATTTGCACGTTGGCCATCTCGCGAAGTTAAACCATCGATTTCCTTCGTAAACGGAAAAACCACAAGGTAGGACAACTGAACAATATAAAGTACTCATATTAAAAGTAACGTAATTGCTCTTACTGCTGCATACGTATAAATGTCTAATTAGTACCGAGAATACCGGAACACGAAAGACGTGCTGCGAAGACTGACGACTCTGTCATTTTTTTTTATTGTATAGGTAGAAACAAGGTACGACTTGTTTCATTTCTGTGATTTATTTTATCTGGTAACACGATATCATTAGCCAAGATAATCAAATGTGACGTTAATTTAATGAGATAAATAGAAAATATCTTTTGATTTATATTCACTTTCGCAATTAGTACGATAATTGGATTAACAAGCAAGTTAAAATCGTACGAGTTGCGAAACTTTGCTATTAAATCCTTCAAACAAAATTACAGAAGCAATTTAATAGTATGTATTCACATTTTATTTGAAAATTGTAATGTACGAATAAGAATCGAGATCCATACATCTATTTAATCCATTTAACTTATTTCGATGATCAGTATGTTCGATGATATGCAATATATATCTGTATTACCGTCTATATTGGCATTTAAAATGTAAGGGTTGATATGTGCATTTAAGTAGGTCGAACCGTAGTAACCGAAAACGTTCTATATAGTAAATAGGAAATACACATAACAATGGGGATTAGTATTGTAAGTTTCGTGGAAGAACGAATTTAACGAATTCGCTTTATGATTATAACCACAATTTCTTCCTTAATAAAGACTCGTTAAAAAATTTGTTACAAATAATTATTACTAGATAATGTTTACATCATAAATATTCATAACATATCATATTCTCTTAGCAATCTTGAAATTTGTATAATAAAATTTGTATAATGTAGAAACAGATTACTAAAAATTTAGATTTTAAACCTCCAAAGCTCTTGGATCAGTTCAATTACAAACCTCTTTCTCAAAAATATCAAATAATTCAATTTTTTTATGCTATATCTACAAGAAAGTTTCAAATGTTCTTATTAAAATATAATATCTACTTACAATTAGTATTCATTCTTTTTTATACAAGATACGTCATTTTAGTTCTTTGAACTTAATTAATACCTTTTAATTAACATAAATTAACTTTTAAGTAAACAGGTGGTTTATACGCAAGTTGGTAAGTAGGCTGGTCATAAAATCTAAAAAAAAGCTTAATCTTGTATTCATATTTTTTATACTAGTATATTAATTTTACATTAAATTACACCTTTATGAGATAAAGGAATGTAAAAATAATTAACTTTAAGATTGAGAGCATCTGGGTAATTGTACTTTTTCCTTTTTCAGAATAATAATTTTCTTTCTAACAAATAAAAACTTTGAAAGCCGAGAGTCAACGGGAAGAATAGGACGGCCATACCCATAAATATTGGAGAGAAATTCCGCGTGTCGAACTCCGTCGTTCGACATAGTACCGGCCAACCCTCTGCATGTGCGTGTTTCACTGGCGAACAACAGCCCTTCACTCTTACTTTTCCTTACGTTGCGTATCGCCAGGCCAGGCGTTTCGGTGCCGCGCCGCGCCGCTGCCGCCGATGCATAAGCGCATGTGACCGAGTTTCGGCGGAATATGATCGACCGCGCGAAACTCGGTCAAAGACCACCGACACCTTTCCGCGACTCTCTGCCTGTGTAGGAGTACCGGCACGATCTGCGCGAAATTCCCTCCCCATTCGCGAGCGGACGAACGTTCGTACGAACGTCCGCAAACGCGATCGTTTATTACTGCACGTATTTATCTTTGGCGATTCGCGTCCTAATCGCAAAAACTGACCTGAACAGATTGATCTAAATTTCTCCCGGTTTCTCCTTACTGGGAGGTTAAGTCTCTCTGCGGCAGAAATGCGACCTTAGCGCAAAGGAAGGATCTTGTTTGTAAATCGTGAATATCAAATTGTTGTTAGTATTACAAGTGAGAGATTAGTATTACAAATAACTCTGTTAAGGATGTATCAGGTGTATAGTCTCTGCAAAAAATGATAGGAATTTTAAATTTATACTTTTATAAAAGTGAATATTTTATATACGTATGAAACAGTTCAGTTAGGTCGATATTTATGTATTTAACAATACAATTTTATTAATTTAAATGAAAATTTTTTTATTTTATCTCAATTATATTTAAAAAAATATGTCTACTGTTTGCAATAATTCTTCATATAGGTCCTAATTCGCCAGACTTTTTGTTTTCAAATATATAATAAAAAAATCTATAATTTTTTTTGTTCCATTTGGTGAAAAAATATGTGTGCAATATATTTTTTTTGTAATAGTGTACTCGTATCCATGCAATAAGAATATTTTCTATCAAACATAATTTTATATTATGCGTGAAAATATTTATGCAGATTTCGCGGCTGTATAAATTCCAGATTTTTTAATATTAATTAGAGGAAGAGGATTCGGCGCACTTATCTGGTTTCTTTGTTTTTGTTGCAGATAAAAATCGACCGACTCGAAGATTAGACTATGTTATTTCGGATAACGGATTGATCGCACCCGTCGCTTCATTTACACGTGAGTATGCATTTTTCGAAGGAGTGGTATCCCATTTGCAGGAGTAGCTCGTTTATTCGGTGACATTACTCACTAACGACTTCCATAACGAGGCCTCGCAATATTCAGAAAAATACGCTAATCACGTTCTATAATTAAGACTTACGTCAGTTTGGATATATGACCTTATGCTTAAAATTGTATCTGCCACCATTGAACTTTTGCAATTTTGTACTATGGAAAATGTCGAAAACACAGCGGCATAATGTCATTCTACGAAACCAACTAGTTATTTGTTACATTTGCACTCTCCTGACAACATCGGGATTACGATATCTTCGGTCTTATCGCAACGCAGCACTTGCTCGACTCCTCTTAGGTCGGACATGAAAAATCTTGGTTCGCGTTGGACGGTCCCCGACATAGCACGCACTGCCGCAGCGCGTTCGTCATTTCTCGTCGCCATTTCGTTGGAACGAGATTCAGGTAGCAGCAGCAGCAGCAGCAGCAGCAGCAGCAGCAGCGTAACAGGAACAAAACTAGAAGTAGTGGTAGCACCAGCGACAGCAACGGCATTAGCAGCAGAAGCAGCAGCAGCAGCAGCAGCAGCAACAGCAGCAGCAGTACTCGCGTGACGGCGATCGACAAGAAGAGGGAGAGCAAGAGTAGCGGCAGATCGGCAATCGACGTGCTGCACGGAGCGCCCTTATCCGTCCGACCGTACGTAACGGCGTCGTGTGACCGCATTGTCGGCACGACGCGTCCGGAATCGACGACGCCCAGGAATCGGCCGGTAGCCGGCAAGTCACGCCGCTTTCAGCACCGGACTCGTCGTCCTCGTCAGCCGCAACAGCAACTTTACTACCCCCCCGCGTCGTGGGACACGCGCACACTACACTTCAGGAACTGTTAGCACCGATCAAAAGTGAGTCCAATCCATCGATGGATCAAACTTCACTTTTGTCATCTTTGTATTGTACATAAAATAAATTTACTAAATTTTAACAAATATTTGTTTCAATAGTATCAATTAAACGTTTACTTACAGTAAATAAATATTTATTAAAAAAAATTATACTTAAATCAAATTATTGGATACACTAGATAAATATATGTTTACATTTAATAAATATTTAGTTAGTACTGTTCAAATAAATATTTATTAAAATTTAGTACATTTTTTCACATAATTTTTCATGTCTCATATATTCAGTTTCTTCAATTTATTTTTTCTTCATAATTATTCAATAGTTTCGAATAAAAGTCGATTTGTATTTTACTTATTTTTTTTTTGCAGATTTAATTCATTATAATTCACTGTCTTTAAAGATCCTATGTTGTTGGCGATTAAAGATGCTCAATAGCATCAGTAATATTATATTGCTCGTCAATTTAATTTGTGATATTGAGTACTCCAGTTTAAATCTGTATATTTCAAGAGAAATAATTGGCATTGTAGTTTGGTTGAATAGGAAATTCATTCAAAATATTATCAGGCATTGTAAAATTCATATAAAATATTATTATCATCAAGACTCGCTTTGATCGAGTATTGCCTTCTTCATTAATGTTTAACAATCTTGATTTACGTTGCTATTGGTATTTTTTTCTGAATTGTAAAATTCTCTCTTTTATCGTTTGTTTGTGTTAATATCTTTTTCATTCTTCTTTCAAGTATTTTCCTATCCATTTTCTCCCATTTATTATTCTCACGTTACGTTTTTCATTGATCGCAGGAAGGTGGCTCAGCTGTGCGCAGCCTAGACAATGTCCGAAGATTCTGACTCTATATCAGAGGAAGAAAGAAGTTTGTTCCGTCCGTTCACGCGGGAGTCCCTGGCAGCGATCGAGGCTCGCATTGCCGAGGAAGAGGCCAGGCAGAAAGAGCTTCAGCAGAAAAGAGCGGAAGGCGAGGTATGAACGCGGCCGTATGCGCTCGTCGCACGATCGCGCATTTCTAATTTTCTCCGCGCATTTCTAATTTTCTTCGCGCATTAACTACATCGACACATAATTCGTCATGTGCGTATACAGTAGGATACCCCTTAAGTAGCGCCAAATAAATTACGTGGTCGTTCCATGACGATCGCGTTCAGGCATTTCGATCCTTATTTCATGGAACTCTCGAAGAGATATTATTTGAACTGTAAAAAGATCATATTGGTAATTCCAAAAAATATGCTTTTGCGTAAATGTTCGTTGTACATACATACGCTTATTGTTCTCCAAACTCGTATCGCTATTTCGAGTTTGTTGTTATTGTATAATTTTTCAGTTAGTCATATATTGATTAACGCTAGCGGGTATATTTATCTGACGCTGCTAATTTTCCTGCCAGGCTCGATTGTGCGATCAATTAATTTTCCTGTGTAATTACTGTCCTCTTTATACATATTCATGTGTACATATCTATTCATACGAGACGAGCAATGTAACAATAAAAGTTTACAAGTCTTTACGAAAAAGATATAACATTCGTTTAATTTGAAAATCCTATTGCACAACAGATCATCTTAGAGCTTTCAAAAATTCGGTTCTTTTATACCAATATGTACTACAGCCATTTATTGCGCCCACAGGCGTTTGTATAAATGTGCTAAATAAAAAGTTTTGCATTTTGAATGCTACTCATACTTAAGATTTTGTTACATTCATTCCTATAAAATATCTTTATTAAAATGTTTTTTAAGAACGTTTTAGCAAAAATAATATTTTTAACTAATAAAATAAATACGCATTTAAACAAAATAAATTGAGAATAAATAGAATATGAAAAGGATAATATTTTTTGAAATACATCAGGAGTTATACGATAATACTTATCCAATGCATTTGATATAAAAATAAATCAATTTGAATAAACAAACAACGGAAATTTCAGATAAAGGTACATCAATTATTTAAAAAATTTTAGATTGCAGTATTCAACTTAAATATATTTGTTTTCTAAGAGATGCATTCTTTGATATTTAATGGAAAGTGCAATTTTTTAAATTGATTAATCTTAAGTATGAGCTGCCTTAAGCGGCATTTACAAGATTGAGATTTTAAGGTATAAAATTCAAGCCTTAAGCCTTAAACTGTAAAGAAATTAACCAATGATAATCGATTATTCTCATCACATTCGTTATTATGATTAGTCAACTTCTTACGTACGGCCTAAGGATTAAAGTTTAAGATCTCTTGCGCCTTAAAATCTCATTGCAAATACCGCTTTATCGTTAACCTTCCTATGCCTAGCTGTAGCATCGTTTGCGAAACCCTTTCTTGTTCATTCTTTTCTTACATATGTCAAATTGCAACAGGATTCATTTGTTCCCCTTATTCATTCGACTGTCCCTTTGATTGTTCGCTTGATCTATCTATCGCTAACGTAGTGAGGATGTAACTATCTCTTTACCCGACGACTATTTAACCTCATTTGTTTATACATACATATATCTGTCGTCGAGTAATGTATTGTGTGTGTTACGAAAGATATGTCACGTACGAAGCTCGATGTCTGCAGTGCCACTTATCTCTCTGTGCCTACTTATACATAAATACGTACATATATATAAATATATATACATATACATATTTTTTATGTGCGTGAATATATCGCTCATGTGTCGTGGCTACCTCCACTCTCTTTCTCTCTCTCTCTCTCTTCGTTGCATTCGCGTTAATGAATAACGCGCGAGTGCCACGCGATGGGAGATGATTATCACGGTGGAGCGTATTAATGTAAATCCAACGAATGAGTCCCTTACATCCTTATAATTAGCGCTCCTAATTTGCCTCATGGTTATAATAGCAACATCGATAAAAGGAGCGGATTTATTTATTAACCTTCGTCCTCCTCCACGTCTATCGTTCAACATTGATCGCGCTGTTTGAAAATTACTTTCGCAAGAGGAGCAAATCTTCTCCTTTTATTGCCTCCTTGTATTATACTCCAGCGATGAAAGGTCAAGGAGAGAACGAGAGAGAAGCGAGATCAAGACTGGATTATCATCGATCGTCACTCTTTCTTTTTCTGTAATGAATCTTAACATCTAAGAATGTATTCGCTTACTATTTTTGCATTTTTTAAAAATATATCACGAAGTGAATTAACTGGCTTATTTAGATGAATAAATTATTTCGTTCCTTTATTAATTGCGGCAGAAGCTATTTTATTTAATCAAACGTTTAAAGGATGTTTCACGACAAAACTTTTTAAAATAGCTTAAAAGTTGATAATGATACGGGTTCTAGCTCTCTGTGAAAATTATTTTCGAAGACAAGCTGTATTTTCCCAGCAGTTAATCCAGTCCCGATCAAGCTTGATGTGCTTGGAAACCCTCTTTCCGGATTGCCTGATCCTGTGTATTTTCCTGTCGTACGTCAATGTCGTGATGTAACATTGTGTTTCTTCTCCTCCCTTTATTGCCATCTATCTCCCCTTAGTCTCTTTCTCTCTTTCTCTCTCTTTCTCTCTTTTCCCATTTTTCTTTTCTAAAGTCGCCCGATTCAACTCTTACTTTTCCAAAAGCTACGGACTGAGCCATCTTATCGCAATCTCCCTTGTTATAGCATATATTGGCATATTATTTTTTTTTTCTACTCTGTTCATTCACCGATATCCCCCGTATTCTCTGTATCTCTGTGTGTAACGACTGTTTCTCCATTTCTCCAATTTCAGGGAGGTTATGGACGGAAGAAAAAGAAAAAAGAAGTAAGACGTTACGTCACGCTAAGTAATACCGCTCTCTCTATCTCACATCCGACTCTTCTACCTTACTAACATACACACGTGCACATGTACACGTCATATACGTCGACATACATATATATATATATATATTTCTCTCTCACACATATGTATATACACTGTGAACACGTGCGCAAACAGACACGCACACGATCTCACGATTTTTCCTCACTATCGGCAGCATTTGGCCGATCGATCGACTAGACACGCGTCACTCACTCACTGCTCAACGCCACACATACGATACAATACTTGCTCACATTTTGTGCAGGGATTGAAAACAAGAATAATGAACTTTTCAGTTCCACGCGAATGTCGAAGAAGAATCGATATTGGTAATAGTCACGGACGATTCCACACTTTCACACCATACTCGAAGCTGCGTTTATATTGGAATTTTACACAGTCAATTTTACATTAATTATTGGCTTACGGATCATTTTAATTTTATTAGTTTCTTTGTTTGTTTATTAATCTTTGATATGTAAATCTTTTCTTTCAGAGAATCATTTAGTACTGTTCCTTTTGAATTATAAAATAAAATAATAGTATATTTTTTAAAACAATAAAGAACAAATTGAAAGGCGATTGAATGTAGTAACGGTGTAGTAATTAGAGCACAAAAGATTTCCAGTAAATTTTTTAAAATCTATCGCTATCTTTCGCAAACTATTCTAGCGGCAATAATTTTTCTGATAAATTATTCGCGACAATTTCGATGGAAACATTTGCGATTTTTAAATCTGATTCTTTTTCGAATGTCAAGATTGATTTAAACAAAAAAAAATCACTGAGCTTAGACGACCGCAGTCATAAAGATTTCAATCCCTGATTTTCTGCGTGCCACGATGTATATTGATTCCCGAGCGTCATTATCCCAAATCGATATATCGACCGGATACCAAAGATGTGCAAGTTTAATCCACGAGGCATTGAATTGAAACGTTTTGATTAATTAATTCGGGGGCTATTTTTAGTGGGTACGCGCGCGATTCGCCTTCATGATATCTCAATGTCGAGTATCTTTCTTATCGCGAATATCCCTTCTTCTGGATGTTACATCGTGGCCGAGAATATGATAATAAAGTTTCATAATTTGCACACACACACACACACACACACACACACACACACACACACACATACACGCGCGCGCATACACATATCATACATACACACACACACACATACACACACACGCGACACAAAGCAGCGAGCTTCTGTATATTGCCCCTTGGTTGTTTGCAAATATATGACACGTTCCTTGGCAAAGTGTCTTGACGTCTTACGATCAAAAGCGAGCTGTGCTTACGCTTTAACGCGCGGCTTTCCCTCGAAATATTTGTTGCTTCCAGAATCTCTGTGCTTTACACGCTTATAGAAGACAGCTTGGGATCAATTGTAACGGGAGACAATTGTGCGACGTTCGAAATTCTCGGTTGCTGTAAACATCAAAAATAGTCTGAGAGATGAATTATCTATGTATCTCGCAAATGTACCAAAATTTCTTTATGATACGCGAATCAATATTTTATTGATGAAACTGTCACAATTAATCCCAGGGTCAATCACGCAATTGAAGGAGTACAAATTGAAGATGCATTAAATTTTTGATGTAAACCTGATTTTAAAGACTACTTCAAATGTATCTGACTCGTGTATACATATTTGCGTCAAGCAATAAATAAAAATACGTAATTTCTGTCGAGATATACGAGCGCGGTCTTGAAAAATTCCACCGTCGAGAAACATCTAGGAAGTGGCAATACGAGAGATGCGCAGTACGACATAAATATTTCGAGCGGAGGTCGCGGTCGCCTAGTAATGCTTACACAGACGTATGCCATACGCGTGCAATGCTTACGCTGATCTTTCTTCATCCCGTTTTTTTTTTTTTTTAATTTCTTAATGAACTAGCGCGCACTGTCGCAGCTGCCTCGGAGCAAAGTGCGCGCGAGTCGCACACGATCGGCGATAATGCGGTGCATCCTCCGGAATCGTATTGATTTATAGTTGGTCGCGATAATAGAAAGTTCTACAACGAGAGAGAACTTTGTCATTCTGGCGGATCGTAGACAGCTCGGAACAATCGTAATCCCCGTCAGCGCCTTCAGTGTGTTTGTTATTCGAAGTACACTCGAGGAAAGTCAAGTTCGCGAGAGCTAGAACGAGAGCTTCGATTTCCCGCGGTTTCTCGCGCACTATGCTTGTACGCTTCTTCCGGTCTCGTGATCGAATCTGATGACGTACGAGGGTCAGACCCCCGAATTGGGTTACCCTCGGGATTCGACCATGAGTTTCGAAAACTTTCGGCACGCACGAGCACGAGTTTAAAGCTTTCGCGCTCAGAGCTCGGCGGGCACTTGGCTTGGGCAATTTTACAATTAGATCTAGTCATCTAGTCCGTACACTGATATTATTTTAGCGTAGTCTTGGATTTAGGTGTAGGACACTTGTTTAAAATTTTTTAATTACGTAATTCCAAAAGGAACCGCAATTGAGATACATCAGTGCACCGTGAGATTGAATGAGATCTCACATCCATCATCTGCGGGATTTTGTCGCATTTTGCGGTTTTTGCGAAGTGAACACGTCGGCGACGGATCGTTTAGTTTAGTGGTTAAGTAAGGTCTTAAATTCACCGCGCATAAATTTACATAAGCGCGTAAACGTAGAATACGAACGTATTCCCGGGCCCATAGGGAGAAATATACCGAGCGTTTTATTTTCGGTCGAGACATTTATTTGCCATGCATACGCTTTTATATCAATTTGTGCGCGACTGTATCCTGAATAGATGAAGATCACTGATCGCCGGCGGATCGGATAGAGGGTAGAATAGAGCTATTTTGTGTCTAGAGCGTTTAGACAAATTAGTATCAGACGAGTGAGCATAGTACAAAAATAGGAAATAGTATCTTTTAATTAAGATTAAGCCAGAGATTCGAGCCGTAGGAGGGACCAAAGTCGAGCAGATTGTGTGGACCTTCTTCAGGTTCGTATGTTCACGACCCGTTTTTAGCACCGATCGAATTTGTAGCGTGAATATATCAGTATATCTACTCTCTAAAACTTTTAAAGTGAATTGTCATCCTGAAGAGTGAAATGTCACTCTTAAAGATTCTACTTCAAAGAATTTAGAGAGTGCATATTGGCTTCGCCTTTCACACTGTCGTGACTTAATGTCGTGGCGAATTATTAGCTAAAATGCAATAATTAATATGATAATTTTTTTTCGAGTTTTATCAGCGATCACGGGACTCAGTAAGTTTGCTTGGGATATCTGACTATTCCGAGGAAAACGAGATTTTCCACTCGTTCGGAACACGTGACAGCTTATATCGCACGCAATACGCTTACATGTACCGTTTTCACTGAATCACATGATTGAGATTTTGTTTTGTGATGCACAGGCAACGACGATGCGGTGCAACGCATTGAGCTCATTTAAAAGCGGGTTATGAATAACTGGTGCACTTAGAAAAGTACGCGGATGAATATTTCCAAAGAAGCGATTTGTTCCAATATTCATACGACGGCACTGAATATTTCACGTTCGCGTTCCACATGCGAAAGTCAAACACGATGCCATATGATTTCTGTCCTTCTATACGGTCAAGTTTATATTTCTAGCGATATTACAAGGTGCAATCGTAAATGCAAGTTTTAAAATCACTTTTATGTAAAAAAAAAAAGATCTCGCGTAAAATATTTTCCAATAAAAGTATTGTATATCAAGATATTAAATGTAAACGTAAATCAATAAAATTAATAATTAACAATATTTAGTAACAAAACAATTAAAAATTAAATAATTTATACTTTCTACGAAAGTATATAGATATAGTATTAAAATGTATATACATAATATTTGAAGGAAATTTGGGAAACATAGTCGTAATAATTTATTTTATATGTTTTCGTAATATTTTTTTCGCGTTATACATTCTTGTGCAATGAATAATGAAGAATTGCTGAAATATTTGAATATTAATTTTGTATTACATTCTGTATTACGCGGCACGTTATCGTCGAATGGGAGAATGCAACTGTGCATACAGCTCCTATTGTCCACTTAATTTACGATCGAACAAATCGATATTTTGGAAATATTTATATCACCGATTGCTCGATTATTTTTACTTTTTATGCTCGAATATGAAATGAGATATATGCGATGGCCTAATTTGATTTTTCATATGAAACGCGGCTCCAATTGTGAAATTAATGAAACGTATCAGAAAAAAATTTTTACAAAATTGAAAACATATAATAAGTAGTACAAGATCAATTTTTTCCCCTGTAGACCGGCATCATATATCCTTGACATATTCGCTTCGAAAAAAGGAATGTTTCAATCAATAATTCTTGTTCTCTTAATAGAATTTCAAAATTATAAAGATATACTTTTATATTTTGATTACTTGCGATAATGTTTCTCTACGAAGATCTAAACATCATTTTGTTCAAGCAAAATACCGTGACAATGATATGGTGAAAAAAATACGCGTATTGGGATAATCTTACGAGCATCTCGTTCGCAGGTACGATATGACGACGAGGACGAGGACGAAGGTCCTCAGCCGGATCCCTTATTTGAGCAGGGAGCGTCGATCCCGGTCCGACTGCACAACGAATTTCCACCCGAGTTGGCCTCCACACCTCTCGAGGATATTGATAGCTTCTACCACAATCAAAGGGTACCTGGCATTGATGTACTAATTAGTTTAACTCTCTTAGAGAAACTGAGTTTTCGCGAGATACGGAATTTTAGAGAGTAGGTTCTCTAACAGCGGCCGTTTACTATGACCGCATCTGGCGCAGCTATTTTCAAACTTTGACTTTCAAACTCGTAATTGCTTTGTGTAACTATTTTACGGTTATAATGGTGCGTTAAAAGCTGTACATCTATATCAAGATCTTTTTATAATTTGAGTTTACAAGCGCAAACTCATAATAAATTACTCATAAATTATCTTAAAAATATATTTTTCGCGGATCGATATTTTTTTCTTAAGTCTTATATGATTGACTTTATATTATTATTGTCCAGAAAATTTTATTGTTTTTATCTAAACCGAGATAATTATTTTAATACGGGTTTTAATTAAAAACCATATTTTTTATTAATGTTAAAATTTTAATCTACTTTTAAAACACAATTAAATCCATGAGCAGAAAGCTGACTTTCTTAAATGACTGCACTCTCTATTTCTGCACTTTATACTTGTAATATCTGACTGAATAAATTTTATGGTACGTCTGTTCGTAGACCTTCGTCGTCATTAGCAGGGGAAAGGATGTATTCAGATTCTCAGCGACGGACGCGATGTGGATGCTCGACCCGTTCAACCCTATACGGCGTGTGGCCATATATATATTGGTTCACCCGCTCTTCTCCCTTTTCATCATCACTACAATATTGGTTAACTGTGTACTCATGATCATGCCCACCACGCCCACCATCGAGTCCACCGAGTGAGTATCTTTCATCTTTACTTGCGAATCGTGATTATATCGACGAGGATGAATAAGCGAATATTTACAAGAAGCGGAAAGCCAAGCTTTTTCATTCTTATTAGAAATGAAACTATTGAAGAAACTCTAATTAAAAGTTCTAGAGATTGGGATAAAGCAATACATTTCTCAACAAAAATAAATATTCATTATTTCCAATCGATAGTAAATATAAGAGAAAATATATATATATATATATATATATATATATATATTTTCTCTTTCACTGTGTTTAAGAAATACTTTTAAATCTTTTAAGTATTTAAAAAAATCTTTAGAATCTAGTTAAAAACTTTTTTGAGTCTTTAAACTTTGAAATATTTTTAAAATATTTCTACGATTATTTCTTGCAAAATTATATATAAGTATTTTGCATTTTGTTTTTTTTTATCAATTTGAAATGATACTTTAATTTAAAAGAGTGTATTTCAAGGTAATTGATTACATATTAAAAAAATATCGTTAGCACTAACTAATTAATGTTTACAACAAAAGTAATTATCGTACACTTTAAGTATCGTTTAATATTATTCATTTTAATGATGATATTTAATTATCATCTAATTAGACCCCGTTTATTAATTTTTTGGTTATTTTTTAATTATCAACTTTTGAAATATTTGATATTTGAAGAAAACAATACCACAAATTTTATCGTTGTATTTTGAAAATGCAAATAATATAGAAAGGAAGTAAATAGACAAAAATTCCTTACTTCTTAAATGATAGAGACAATACATGTCCAACTTAAAGCCTATTATTATAAATGATTGTAAATTTATATAATTTAGTCTAAACCTAAACTGCAAATCCGTCGTCGATTATTTATTTTAAAAATTTAGCTCATATTTTCACTGTGCTGTTTAGCTGTTCGATATCTAATTAGCTAGAAAGAATTTTATCAAATACTTACGACGTGATCATTTATCTAGTAGACATATTTCAAGAAATGTTCTACATGTTATAGCTCTAATATATGAGTAGAGACTGTGTGATAAATTGTATTCCGTTGGTAAGTTTTGTACTAGTCTCTCTAGAGATAGCACTAGATGACGGGCAACAAATCACGCGAACGATTCAACATGCAGTTTACTAAAATTTTAAATATCATTTCCGGGATTATTTCAAAATTTGGGAGCACGATTCGTAAAATTTTATTATTTTACAGCGAGATAAATAACTATTGTAAGTATCAAATATAACTGAAGATTCGGAAATCTGATTTTCATTATCTTGTTTTTATTTGTTACATTTAATAAAGAATTGTTATTGTGCTAATTGTAAGTATGATAAACTACATTTTGTACATTCATGATCCATCGCGCGCTATGAATAATTCGTTTGCGTACACGAAATGCACCGTGCCTGAAATACGAGTATATTGTAGTTAATTTATACAATGAAATAGAGATATCAATAGATATCAATAGATTATTGATAGGATAAAATAGATGTTAGAGATTATTGCCGAGTTTAGATGCGTATCAGTCTCGCTAACAAAAGTGATCATGTTAATTAAATGTGTAATTTCTTTACTTGCATGTTTTTGAGTTTAATAGATTAGTTTAATAGATTTTACTGTTGTAAAATTTACCTACTGTAAATATGTAACAGTAAACATATTTGTAATAATTAATGAGAATAAAAAATAATTATGAGATGTACGGTGGAAACGATAAGTATAACGATAAGTATGATCACATTTTTGTGCGAGAGTATCGTTCAAGCGTGATTTTAAACGGGCTAGATGGTAGAGAGAGAATCACGTACGACGCATTTAAAAAGCTGAGTGGTGTGTTTGTTGTTTTCAGAGTGATATTTACGGGCATCTACACATTTGAGTCCGCCGTTAAGGTGATGGCGAGGGGTTTCATTCTGCAGCCTTTTACCTATCTTAGAGATGCATGGAATTGGCTCGACTTCGTAGTTATAGCTTTAGCGTGAGTAGTTAAACTTATTCTTCTTAAAGAGAGAAAGGCAAGAAGAAAGAAAAGTAAAAGGGAAGTAAAAAAAACGGTAGAGTACAATGGGCAAAAGGATTGTCGCCATTTTGTCGAGAAAAGTCGTGGAGATTCTGTGGATACTAATAAAAGTATCGCTTTAATCTTTTTATTAAATTGTACATCGTGCTAATTACTTCGGCCTCGTAACAAGAAATGTTATTATGAAAATTAGAATTTCGTGCCTTTAATTATTTTCTTCGAACTACAAAAACTTAAAATAATAATAATTTCTAGAATATACGATAACTTTTTTAAAAACTATTTACAAATTATTTTAACAGTGTCGAATTAAATGAATCAATTGGCTCTTAATAGAGTAGAAAAAGAAATAAATTACTAAAGTGTGTCACGACGACAAATACGGCAATCAAGATCGTGGCAATTATTGAATTGGCAATTTTCCGTGTAAAAAGACCAAAATTCGTACTGATGAGTTAATCCAAAACGTTAATTAGTATCAAGTTAGATCTTTCCAGGTTATGACAGTAGACTTCTCCGCTAGATCCGTTGAGTACGCTAACGTAAGATTTCCGTAGCATCGATTATCTACTTATATATGATATAATTCAATCTTCGTTCATTACGCCTCACAATCCACGCAAACACGAACGTGCATACACGCATATACTCTGGGGTGTACTTATATATATATTAGGTATCTAAATTAGTTCATCTAGATAAGGATAGTATTATTTCTTTTAGTGATCTTAAAGAGAAGTTTTTAATTGCCATTCGTCGTAATACGTTGATTAGACATTAGTATGTCGAGTCGATAAGTCATTTGATTAATTGTTGTAGTTTAGTACATTTCTATATACATACATTTTTACTTCAGTAATTGTTCATAGATGATCGATACGTGTGTTTCACTCGATAAGCGAGTATTCTACTGCGGCTCGTAACATAGCCAAGATCGCGTGCCACGAGATTCAATAATCTATCATAGCCTTGATTATAGTATTTTAGACATTGCCATTTTTCTAAAATAATTGTCTATCTATTTTTTACTTTGGAAGAAAATATTACCAATATTGGAAAAGTTTTTATCCTTTGAAGAATCAAGAATATTTATTAGAATTATAAAAGTATTCGTTAGAATAAGCTCTTGAAATTTTTTAATATAGTTACTAGATATTTTTCAAGTAAAAAAATTTAAAAGTTTTTTTTAAAATAAAGACTAATATGATATTGCAAATTAAATATATGTTAATTTAATCACATCCTTTAAAGAGAGAAAGATTATTGACGGAAGAAAATGAGTTTGGGAAATATGCTGGAAAAATAATCTCGAAACCCGTGGCAAGTTATGTACGGCATGTTACATTGAATCGTGCATGCAGTAATAGCTACCTTACGATACACATTACAGTTCGTGCAGATTTTTTGGTAGGAAATAGGAAAAGTAGCGAGTAACCGTTTGCGTAACTACGTAACCCCGCCCTGATCTTCTTTAACTTGTTTTATCTTTTTGTTTGTATCACTGTAATGTGTGTGATGTTCGGGTGTATTGCAGTTATGTGACGATGGGCATAGATCTAGGCAACCTTGCCGCTCTCAGGACATTTCGAGTCCTCCGAGCCTTGAAGACTGTCGCTATTGTACCAGGTATGCTTAGAGTATAGAAGTGGTTGTAGATGCAAATACATAGTGGTTCTAGACAACACTTGTCGCGATCGTTGTGTATCGTCTTCCGTATCTCATCACATATCTACAACACTTCCATTCATTGCAGCTTATATCGCCCTTCGCATCATTTGCCCCGTTTGTCACTTGGTATTCTTACAATATATACATCCGTCCGATATTCACCTCAACGAATCTGATTCCCTTCACATTGGTTTGCTTTCTTCCCATTTTTCCTTATCTTCGTTCGATCCCGATTGCGAAACGAACTGTCAAACTCGATGCACGAAATTGCTTTGAATGGATGAAGACAGAGAAAATTTGATCGTATATTTCATATAAGACGATTTATTGTGAAAGATATGCTTCTGAAGACCTTTCATTTTTTTATCTCATAGGTTGCATATCAAACAAATCTTTCGTCTGCATATGAAATTAATCCTTTATTCTATGAAAACGAAATATTTGGGTATGATATACCAATCCAATTTAATTGCTTATAACTTCATAAATATAAATATATTGTAAAGAATTTTTTTCAATGGAAATACTAGATATTAACGTGAGATTTTTTTGTTCAGATCGTTTGATATTTTGATTATAAAAAGAAACGTAGTTATAAAATATATTTTATATTATACGATACATAATTATGATATGTAATGCAATTAGTATAATAAATTTTCCTTATTTTTAAGAATAATTTTTGTAATTTTTTAATTATCAAATACATTTAACAAACATAAAGAAATGCACACAAAAATACCGCGAATCAAACCACTCAAAATTAGCTCAGCGTGGAACTTATTAAGATGTCAAGCAAACGTATGTATTTTTATTAATAAAACAGCTAAGTATAAGCAATGGAAAAAAAAACACTGAAAAAAAAGTCTACGCGCCATATCCAGAGTAGCACCAAAAGGTCAAACAAGTTTTCATGTCACTATCCGTAAAATCGCGTGCATCGTAATGTTCTTCCCTACCGTTGAAAATTATTTTTTCTTTTTTTTATTGAGTATTCCGAAAGAGATACTCATTTCGCATCCCGTATTTTATGCCTGCCTCAGTTGAACTACCACTTCTCTCGCACGACAAACTGAATTTCTCTAGGTTGCCGCCACTGTTGCTGCATGTTTCACGTTACGAACCTACTGTCATTCTGTTTTCATTGTCTAGGTCTGAAAACCATTGTCGGCGCTGTGATAGAATCCGTGAAGAACCTGCGCGATGTGATAATCCTGACGATGTTCTCCCTCTCCGTCTTTGCGCTGATGGGCCTTCAGATTTACATGGGGGTTCTCACGCAAAAGTGTATAAAGAACTTTCCTGAGGACGGCTCCTGGGGTAATCTCACCCATGAGAGTTGGGCGCGATTCAATAATAACGAAAGTAAGTCACAGTTCTTCGTGAAATTAATTCAAAAGCACACAATCTGAGACATGTAAAAAAAGGAATGTCAATCTGAGAGACTACACTGTTAGATATTAAAAAAACTTGGTAATCCAATTCTTTGAGTTAAATAACCTTTTGTTGATTTTAATTTCCATGTGTGTCAAAATGTAAATCAATTCGTTTTAGATTGAATTACATTTAGCTTTAAACAACAAGAATCTATATAAATGTATACATTTAGTAAATAATAAATTAAATTTGTGTCAAATTTAATACATTTCTTGAGTTAACTTGATTGATTTTGAATCAATCACACAATTAAATTAACAGTATATTGAATAGAAATAGTGGTGATTTGTAGAAAGGATTAAAAACTTAAATTAGGTATAATTTGACATTATGAATTTTTAAAAGTGTGGTCTTTGCGACATTTCTTGAAGTGTTTTTGTGATTTGACGGGATTTTAAAAGTCTGATCCGTCATGACTTCATCTAGATTGGTTTTCAACTATTTCAGTAGTACATTTTTAAATATAAACTGTGTTTATAAAGGGTTTCATGCAAGGTAACTACAGTCATGTGTACTAATTGGTTGTTTCATGAAGATAATAGTCTTGTTTGAAATTAATTTCCAATAAACGATTATTAAATTGCATATTCAATTATTAAATCGTTATTTCTCTTATGCAGCTAATTGGTACTTTGACGAAGCGAAAAATATACCTTTATGCGGAAATTCATCGGGGGCGGGGTAAGTTAATAACTTGTTTTCATTTATTAATAATAGCTTAAACGAATTTAAGATTAATGTCTCCATTAAGAGAGAGAAAGAGAGAGACAACATGAAAAAAATTCTTTCGGAAATATATTTGCAATATTGTGTGATGCGAAGAACACATGAAACAGTAACATTTTCCGAATATAGGCAGTGCCTTCCTGGATACACGTGTTTACAAGGATTCGGCGCTAATCCGAATTACGGTTACACGAGCTTCGATACTTTTGGTTGGGCATTGCTCTCCGCCTTTCGTCTCATGACTCAGGATTATTGGGAGAATCTGTATCAATTGGTGCTAAGATCGGCCGGACCATGGCACATGCTCTTCTTCATCGTGATCATCTTCCTCGGATCCTTCTATCTCGTCAACTTGATCCTCGCTATTGTCGCGATGTCATACGACGAGTTGCAGAAGAAGGCTGAAGAGGAAGAAGCCGCCGAGGAAGAAGCTATGAGGGTAAGTGAGACTAGAGTCGATTTTGAAAGAAAATTGTCTGTTTCATCAAGCACGCATTCTTTCATGAAAAATCTTCCTTAACATGGTATGTCTAGGGGAAATTTTTTAATACAAATTTTTAATTATATTTAATTTTTTAATTATAAAAAATACCTACAATTTTAATTTTGACTCTTTTCTTTTATTTATCATTCCTCTTTTTTTTTATTTAACTTTAGTTCAATATCATATTTTTAATAATACTTAACCCGCACTCTCATATAAGATTTTTTTCTATGTTCTTATCTGATTTTTTAAATTTCTTTTTCTAGAAAAATTATATTATTTTATATGTAATAATAATAATGGTAATGTTAAAGAACTATATTTATAATAAAATTTATAAAAAATCCCTCCCAAAAATTTTCTGGATGCGCTTACAAGAAACGAATTCATTATTTTTTGAAATTAGATCTAAGACTTATGAGTTGAGTAAATAAAAAAAATTGACACGAATTGATGTTAATGTTAATAGGAAGCTCAGGAAGCTGCAATAGCAAAGGAGAACAAACTCGCGGCGCGGGAAGCTGCGGCCGCTGCAGCAGCCGCTGCGGTAGACGCCGCCGCGGAGGCTGCGGATCAGATCGTCAAATCCCCGTCGGATTTCTCGTGTCACAGTTACGAGCTGTTCGTCGGTCAGGAAAAGGGCAATGATGACAACAATAAGGAGAAGATGAGCATACGTTCGATCGAGTCCATCGGCGATCAGAGGCACATCAAGCAGATCAACAACCACAGCGCTGCCAATAAAGTGCGGAAAGTCAGCGCCGTAAGTATCCGACTGGACGATGTACGACATATATTATATACGTATCGACCTTCTTACGCGTAATATACCGAGTTGACCCTGTTATCAACCTCACGATCCTCCCCCCGACCTCGCTCCTACGAGAGCAACTTATGCGAGGCTATTCGATCCGACTCGACTCGTCGGTAGTCTGCGACTGAAATCTCAAAATTTAGAATATCGATCGTTTCTTCGAAACATAAGATTGAAATGATAATGCATTATATTTATATTAGTCCGGAAGAATTTCTTAGGTCATTACTTCTTAGGGCAAACTCAGTGAATCATAGTGAAAGCAAATCTGGGCAATTAAGCAGTAACAACTTATTACTGTTAGTAACAGATAGTATACAGATATCGAATGGCTAATGAAAAACGAAATATATTTGACAGGATGTATCTCTCTGAATTAATATTAGGAAAACGCAAATGTAGGCGCAATCAGATCAGAATATAAATATTTATAGCGTACTTTGATATCTTAATTGTTTTTAATATATTATATTGTGTGTTTTAATATAATATAGAGAAAGGAAAAAATCGCGACGAGTCGAGCCTTTCCATAATATCCGCTGCTCTGTAGCATGCTTGGCGTATATATAGGATGTCCTAAAAAAGTCTGCTAAATTGGGAGTTATAATTGAGATAAATGTTTGGTCCAGATCTGTATCAAGTTTCAGATTTTTTATCGTGTAATTAATCTCCCAATTTTAAACTTTAAGAAGGTAGGTGGCCACATAGCATCCAAGAAATAATTTTCTCAAAAATTTTAATTCAAAAAGGGAAATAAAAAATATTGCCCAGAGAGAAGAGAGAGATGCTCAGAAGTTTTAAAATTCATTATATTTTTTTACATTCCTCTATATCATATAACAAATTCAATCACTTGCATTATACTAGATTAGTGCATACTAAAAGCTTATATATGAAATTAGCAAAGTAAAAGCATATAAATATTTTGAATAATTAAATACTAAATAATGATATTGTTACGTTATTTAATAGAATATACATGTATTATTTTATTGTCAAAGTTAATTATATTGCCATTGCATTTATTTAGTATAAAGTAACTTTTAATCGTACTAATTTAGTGTAACGCAAGTGATGGAATTCATCAATAAAAATATAATTTGTGTATGCATATATATATATATAAATTTAACTATACATAATATATCAGTAAGAAGTATAACTAAAATTAAATTTATTTTTTGGGCTGTTCTGAGCACCTATTTTGAACAACTAAAGATACTTGCGTATCTTTAGGCCACCTAATCTACTTAAAAGTTAATGATTGAATTATTCCCACTATCATATCAATCGAAATTTTGGAAGAACTATCAGTTCTAAACTTCTATCCAAATTCTGCTTCTGTTATTTGTATAAATCTTTTTTGGGACTCGCTGCGTATCTCGACTGCTCGTATTATGTCATGATTCTTTTGGATAGGTGGCTTTACGCATAGAATCTGTCACCCTCTCGTTATAATCATTCGCCCTAGTTATATCGTAAATACAGTTTCAACGTGTCGAATATTGCTGCCTGGATCCTGCAATTGCGCGTAGTAACGCGCGGAACAGTGAATTTCGGCCGTATAACGACACGGCGCGTACTGATCATACATTTTAATCCTGTTTTACAGAATTATGCATGCAGAGAAGTATATGCTTAGTATAAAATTAATAGCTAGCGGAGATACGAAATATATCGGCTAATTGTCTAATATTGATGCTCCAGAACGCTATTTATCTGAGACAGAAATAACAAAAGATATCAATTTTTCTACTTGCATTAAGATAAATATCTCAATATTGAAAATGGACAAACCAAAAAATTCTGATCATATCAATAAGAATTCTGATTATCTCAATTATAATTACAATAAATTCAACCAGAAGATTTTGATTTGTCCATTTTCAATCAAAATTCCAATTAATACAATTAGACTTTTTCCAGAGTGTTTCTTTTTATCTAACAACTTTTTATCAAACAAGCAAGTCTCGAATTAAGAGGTAATGTGAAAAAATTGAACAATAACATTTTCTTCAATTATACAAATATGTAATTATATATCTAATTGATGCAATTCAATCACGGATGTTACCGCCGATCTTCGTGTCTCTCTACAAATTTATTAGTATCTCTCTTTACTAGATTTGTAATTTCTCTTCCTACACACTACACAAAAACATTTTTTTATAGCTATATTTTTTTCTTTCTTGTCTCTTTCTCCACCTCTCCATCCATAATTATGTTATATATGTGCTTCTGCAAGTGTTATGTGATACTCCATACCTATTTCGAGTGCCTCGTTGGTGTACACATTAGATCACGTTACGAGCCGTTTGGTAGGAGATATCTTTTCTTGTTTTTTTCTTAAGGTCCCTCGCGCCGCTAATGGCCAGTTTACTTATGCCTACCAGGAAAGTCTGCGGAAGGTACGTGTGTCACGACGTGTGTCTGTCAGCACCGACCGTACGTACACTAAATAGCACCATAGGACCCGATCTCACAGTGTCATATTCGAAACGTCATTCATGCTCCGCGCGTTACGACTCGCAGTTTTCAGGCGACGTCTTATAAATCGCACCCGTTCATCCTCACGGATTTCCGTTCCCGTGTCGAGACAAGCACGGATCACCGCCGATGATCGATCGTTTCGCGTCTTTCACGTAATAACGATCATTACGAGACGTTTCATCGAAATAAGCCTCGTTGAGCGATCAATCTTTTCTCTTTTAATTCGTTACGAGGAACGATCAACATTGCAAGTATCATTAAAGGAATCAATTACGGTTTATTCGGAAGACGACCGTAGGCAGCCTATATTATCGTTGTGTCAATCATCATGTTTCGTGATTGATTAATTAAAATAGGGAAACGAGGCGAGATTGTTGAAGAGTTACATACTGTATGCTCATCTTAATTTAAATAACTAAATTTTTGGAATCTCTTTAAAAATATCTCCCGTATCGTTTCTATAACCAATGAATCTGTAGTCGAAAATCTATTTCAAACAACGCCAGCTAAAATTTTCACGCATCACAGCTCGTGACTCTTCAAACGATCCGTTAAACGTAACGATAGGCCGCGATCGATTCCGTGAGAAATGTCACGATCATTCTGAGGGAATTATCTCCGTCACCGGAGAGGGACAGAGAACGCTTTTCCGGCTGGCCCTCGCCTCGGAAGAGAGGCGAGAAAAGAGGGCCGAGAACGGAGAGAGAGAGAGAAAAGCGGTGGTCCGCTTTGTTGTAATTTCAGGCGAGCCTGAGCTTACCCGGCTCACCGTTCAATCTGCGCCGCAGCAGCCGTGGCAGCCATCAGTTTACGATACGCAACGGCCGTGGTCGATGTTTCCCACCGGGAGGCGACCGGAAGCCTCTCGTGCTGTCGACGTACTTGGACGCCCAGGAACACCTGCCCTATGCCGACGACTCGAACGCGGTTACACCGATGTCCGAGGAAAACGGCACGATCGTGGTGCCGGTGTATTATGCGAATCTCGGCTCGCGTCACTCGTCCTACACCTCGCACGCCTCGCGGCTCTCCTACACATCTCACGGTGACCTGGCCTTCTCTGGTATCCGCGGCATCGACAGCATCGGCAAGCAGATCACCAAGCAAGAACAGATTCTCAGGAATAGAAACAACAAACAAACACCGGCCAATGGCCACGTTACGGATGCCAATCAGAAAAATTATCATTTCGTAAGTGATTTTTAAGAAACTCTCACAGATATGATGATAACTTGTTTTTATAAATTGTTTTTATAGATAATAACAATTCATATAAATTTATTTAGAAACAATAACATTCTTCAAAATAAAATGCTATAATAGAATTGTATATTAAAACCGAAGGTATTTATAACCTTTTTGACAATCTAGTAGATGAGTTCTGGCTGAAGATAAAATATTTCGGAGTCTGCTGAAACACGTTAAATTTTCATTTCACGGACATATTTGGAAAATATGTCCGTGTTTATGCATGACTGTATATAATTGCAAAAATATGTTCTCATCAGTTTCAATCTTTGTTGCGAACTGATAATATCCATCCTAATAATATTTTATAAAATCACGGATATCAATATGTATGATACAAAGATGATGTTTTACGTCAGATTCGAACGGTCAGATTATAACATATATATATATACAGAGATCTCTCAAAATAGTATTTGCAACTGTTAAAAATTTTCAGGAAGCTTCTGATATGGAAGATCCCATGGGTAAGAACAAGCCACAAGACAATCCGTTTATCGAGTTGCCGGCGCAACAGCATACCGTAGTCGACATGAAAGGTAAGACTGCGAACTAGTTAACGAATAGCTTCGGGCTCTCTCAAGCAATCAAACTTACTTCGATTCTATCATTCTTGCGCAGATGTAATGGTGCTGAACGACATAATCGAGCAAGCTGCCGGTCGCCGGAGTAAGACGCCAGAACAAGCAGGTAATGTCGCGTCCCTTTCCGTACCCTTCGTTAAGTTTCCTCAAGTTTCTTCCTTCAGTTTCTTCTGTTCACCCTTATCACAAATGTATATATATCTTTGTTTAACGTGTGAGCATCCTGCCGTTCGATGTACAGTGTGGTTTTAAAATTTCTCGTCATACTACTCCCTTGCGTTGGTATACTATTTTGCTGGACATTTCTGGACCGCCGCGCCTTGTACATAGTAGAACGAACAAATTCATTTTTAATTTTCATCCCAGCCGACGCAGCTAAAGATCACGCTCACGTGTTTTATACATACTACATACTTTTATTTACGATTGAGCATGGCGTGTAAATTGATGCGGTTCGCTATATACTTTGGATCGACACAGCGTCTCAGCTATTGCTAAACGGAGAAGCATTTAAATGGCAAATAATGTGAAACGCAGGATATTGTCTCTCTGCACAGTGTGATGCGACGAGAAAAATAAAGACACGATGCGGCCCGCGGGCCCTTGAGGGCGGTTTGTGAAAGCATTTTTTGGGGAAACAGAGTTTGCTCGTTTCCTGCGATGTGACACAGATTACCACCTTCGCGCAGCTGCACGATCCCGGTCGCTTCATGCTTCGATTTTTTTTTTTTTCAGATTATCTCAATCGTCGATAAATCATAAATAATGCTCGGTAATATGTGATATATAAATCCTCCCAAAATATAGCGTCATCAAAATATTTTATTAATTTATTTTATGTTTTAATATTTTAGTAAAATTATATATTTATAAAGATATGCAATGATATTAATTTTATAATATTTAATTATTTCTCTCTTTCCTCTATCCTTCTCTTTCTCTTTATAAGTTGAAAGAAATAGTAAAATTTATTTTAAATAATATTGTAGAGTCTAGACATTCTTTTATTCTCTCGATGATTGAGAAATCTTATTTATCTTTGGTTTCCGGAAACTGCAGCGATTTTGGTTAAATTTTCAATATTTTTGCACCTATATCACCACCGCGTTGAAGGGCACTATCGTGTTGGTCTCGGATGCACAATATAGCAAGATTAATAAATTATTCAAAAATGTAAACATGTATTTTTATCAACGTTGTTAGTCTTTGCAAAAAATATTTGATCACTAACGATTTATAATTTTAAATTTTTGCACGTAAAGCTGTAAATCACATTTTTACTACATCTGCAAATTTCGTTAACGTATCTGCGCAGAAACAGAGAATATTTTCCTGAAGATCGCACAAAATCATTACTTTGTTTGAAAAAATGTATAGCCATGCGTGATGTTGTTTGTTAACTGTATTTCATTGTAAAATGTTTGAGTGAGAAGAACTTCACGTGATTATGTTGACTTTTAGTTATCATTAATTGCTTATATTACAATATTTAATCCTTTCGCCGCAGACGCACATCTTTTACAATTATTAGCAAAATTTATATTTTTTGTGTAATGTAATTGTGCTCATATATAATTTATGACTATAAATTAAAAAAAAAAAATAAAATATAACGAAATAACTTTATAATTTTTTACGTGGCGAAAGTATTAAAACTAAATTGTAAAACTATCTTACTTTTTGTGTGTGTGAATAATTGCATGTTGAGTTCGTGCGCATGCTTCAATGTAATTATGTCGCATTGCACATTATTCGCGTCGCTGATGCACGACATTTGTTTAAATTTTATCATCTTTCAGTTTTATATTGGCGCCTTGCGTGAATTTGCATATCGTATGAAATACGAATCAACACTTCATTATTTATTGTATCAAATTGTATAGTGTCAATTTTTAATAAATAAAATATCAATTACACTATCGATGATTGATTTACAGTAATTTTATTATTAAATAAAATATTCGTAGAAAGATCTTTTCTCAATTTACTGCATAATGATGTTAATATAATGATGCGAGCATTTGCAAAAAAAAAAGAATAATTAACATTAAAAGATATTTTACTTTTAAATATTTTGCAAGAAGTTATTATAAAGTACGTTTATCCAGATTTACGCGATTCATTATTCAATGTGACATTTTTAATTTCGCCACGCCTTCTGCTTGCCTGCCTGCTTGCCTGTAAATATAATCTGTGATCTCGAAGAATGAGCCTGACCAAAGAAAAACCTCTTTCCCCAAAAAGAGTGGTGCCAGACAAAATTACTAACGCGCGTTACAGTTTCGACCTATTACTTTCCGACAGACGACGATGAAGAACCTACATTCAAGGACAAGTTAGTGGCCGGAATGTTTCGTTGTATCGACATCTTTTGCGTCTGGGATTGCTGTTGGCTTTGGCTCGAGTTTCAAAAGTACGTGTCCCTGTTGGTCTTTGATCCATTCGTAGAGCTCTTCATCACACTCTGTATCGTCGTTAATACGCTGTTCATGGCATTGGATCACCACGACATGGACAAAGATATGGAAAGAGTACTCAAATCTGGTAATTACGTAAGTATCAGTTGTGTCACTTTGAAATAAGAAAAGTGATATATACGCGTAATACATTATACGAATTTAATCAAATTAACAATTATGTTAACGATTCAATTCAAATTCTAGTTCTTCACGGCGACATTCGGCATCGAAGCGACTATGAAGCTAATAGCGATGAGCCCAAAATATTATTTTCAAGAGGGCTGGAATATTTTCGATTTTATCATCGTCGCTCTTTCGCTTGTGGAGTTGGGTCTCGAAGGCGTGCAAGGTCTGTCGGTATTACGATCTTTCAGATTGGTGAGTGTTACTCTTTTATTGCATTATTATTCTGTTAATCGATATAAGCAATTTAATCGTACGAGTTATGGAAAATTGGATTTCTTTTAGTTGAGAGTGTTCAAGCTAGCTAAATCGTGGCCTACGTTGAATCTGCTCATTTCCATCATGGGCAGAACGGTGGGCGCGTTGGGTAATCTAACGTTCGTATTGTGCATCATCATCTTCATCTTCGCCGTGATGGGTATGCAGCTCTTTGGCAAGAATTACGTCGATCACGTCGATTACTTCCCGGACGGTGATCTACCCAGATGGAACTTCACTGACTTCATGCACTCGTTTATGATCGTTTTTCGAGTGTTGTGCGGAGAATGGATCGAATCTATGTGGGATTGCATGTTGGTCGGTGACGTCTCCTGTATACCCTTCTTCTTAGCTACCGTCGTCATTGGTAACTTGGTCGTAAGTACAAAAGCGAAATCTTTTCAATAGCAATTTTTTATGTAATCAAGTGCAAGATCCTTTCACGCATATTAAATTATTCAATTTGCGATTGATTATGTTATGTTTTCACGAATAGGTCCTGAATCTCTTCTTAGCTCTGTTGCTCAGCAACTTCGGCTCATCGAACCTGTCGGCCCCGACTGCGGACAACGACACGAACAAGATTGCGGAGGCGATCGATCGAATAGCGCGTTTCATTAAGTGGATCAAACGAAATATCCTTGCTTTTGCTAAGTTGATGCGAGCCAAATTCACCAATCAGATATCCGATCAGGCGCCAGGTGAGGGACCGTCCAACAGTTGGAAAGAAGGTTTATATCCAATCAGATCGCTTGCTGTGTGCGCTGTGTAGTTCGTGGCACTGTCTTTCAGTTTTTGCTTTACACTTCTTTCACACGTTTTGCTGGTGCCAGTCGGCGACCGATGTAATAAATTAAAATATATCACGCGTGATGACGAGCTATGAATTACAACGACGAACAGAGCGGACGAGAGATTCGATCATATTTTGTTGTTCAAAATTATTTTTAAGTAACATTCAACATTTGTTTATTTTGTATCATTTTAAACGTTTTCATTGATTTATCATTTTTCTAATATTTACTATCGTTCATAAAGCATATATACGTCGACTGGTACATTCGATTTATTATGCAGATTCCTTAAATTTTACTTGGTTTGCTATTATGCTCCGTTAAAATCGTTGTAACATAACTGTAATTGCATTGTAATGTAATTTTGTTTACGATTTAATACGAATAATAAACAATTTTTGATTGAGTAATTTTCGAAAATAAGATAAAATCGAATGGTTCAGTGTGTTTAATGCACGGTGAGATTAACGCAAATTAAGTTTTGTTTCGCTGATTAGCTGCCTGGCAGTTATACGTTGCTATGCATTTTACTTTGGGAACGCATTTTACTACGTAACTTCGATGGCGATGAAATTCATCCAAGAATTTATCACTAAGCAGAAGTATACACATACATAAAAAATCACATGCATGATGCACGCTGCATTTCTATTCGTATCAGACTGCTGTAAATTTTTCTGATCAAATTCCCGAGAAATTAATTTTTTGTTCGATTTAATATAAAAATGGAAGCAAATATAAACAATTCTTCAATATACCTACATATATTCTAACATTTAATTAAATATACAAGCAATTTTTAAATACCTTTCATATATCTTAAAAACACGTTATATTTAGATGATAATCTGAACAGCAATTTATTAGATTTTTATTTCGATGAATTTAGGTGTTTCAAAACCACTGACTGTAAAATTAATAGCGAATGTGTCAATGCAGCAAGTATCATGCGCAAAGCATCTACATTGTGAATCATTGATACACTGTTTCGAACTGGATTGGATCACTGATATCATTGGACATAGATGACATCATATACGATTGCATGTAAACATGATCATGTTACTAATTTGATCTGATTCCTCAATTCGACGTGTTGGGAATCGCGACGGAAAACAATCGCGGCCGTGTGTATGAGCCTGTATATACGGCGATTGGATTTTTATCTATACAATATTTTGTATAGTTTCCAGCGCGTTTCGATTTGTTTTCCGATACGAATTTCCTAATAAGGGCGGGTTAGAGATTTTGTATGACTGTGCAGATGGGATTGATCGCGATGGGGACCTAGATCTTGCAGATGGAGAGTTGGACGCATATAGAGATAAGAAGAGCGCCAAAGAGCTTAATCAGCTTGAAGTTGCCATTGGTGACGGAATGGAATTTACTATTCATGGTAAGCGTGGAAACAATCAAAGTACAATTCATCGTCAATATAACAATAATCCTTTCATACTGTATAGTTACCGTTTTTAGCTGACAGAGATATTGCATAAAATGTCTAAGTATTATATATTATATCAAATAATAAAAGATTATTCGTTAAAAATTTTTTAAAAACCTGTTACAGGAAATTGTAAATTTTGTTCATAATTATGTAATTGATTAATTGAAAGATAAAAAGTGTAAAGTTTAAAATTAATCCTCTGCCAACAATGGACTTTAAAGACACAATAAATTTAAATCTGTAAAAAAAAAATACAATCGAATTTCTATGATAACAAAAACTTTTTATTAAATTTTTCATGAGTATGTAAAATTTTTTAAAGATTGTTACGCAGTTCAAAACACAATATGAAAATTTGCACTTCAAGTTCAAAGACTCACAGGTCATGGCCGAAGGATGAAAATTTTATATTGCTGACAAAGGATTAAAAATTTGTTACACAATTAAGAACTTGTTACACAGTTAAGAAATTATGTAATTTCCTTTTTTCTTTAAAACTTGTATTTTTGATTAATTAAGTTTAAAAAAAAAAATACTTTATAGCTATGATTAATATATCGAATTCGATTCCCTTTTCAAAGGAGATCTGAAGAATAAACTGAAGAGGGGTAAGCTGTGCATGAACAATACGAAAGTTATCGCGAATTCAATAAACCACCACGATTATAGACTGGACAACGATTATATTAATCAGAACGAAGATGACACTATCAGGTCGGTTAGATCTTTCATAAAATTCTCGTGTATCTCAGACAATATCATTAAAAACACATCTTACTCGATTGTTCTTTTAACAGTAACAAATCATATGGCAGTCACAAAAACCGCGCGTTTAAAGACGAAAGTCACAAAGGCAGTATGGATTCATTAAACGGCGAAGAGAAGAAAGATGCGAGCAAAGAAGATTTAGAACAGGAAGAAGGTAAGAGTAGTAGTTTATCTAACTTTGCAAAATTATTCAAAAATTTGAAAGAAGATATCGGCAAACGACAATCACAGATTAGAAGATTTTTACCGTCGTATGTTTCAAGATAATAGTGATAATTGAAACTACTTCAATCAGATTTAGAAGACGAGGGTGAAGAAGAGGAAGATCGACTCGATGGCGAGATAATACAAGTGGACGAGGATCCTATTCAATCGAGTTACCCGGCCGATTGCTGTCCGGAAAATTGCTACAAAAAGTTTCCATTCCTGGCCGGCGACGATGACGCTCCATTTTGGCAAGGTTGGGCAAACCTGAGATTCAAGACCTTCCGGCTGATCGAAAACAAATATTTCGAGACTGCCGTCATTACCATGATCCTTCTAAGTAGCTTGGCCTTGGTAAGATAATTTCCTTATTTTTTTTTTATAAATTCAAGATGTATATTTAACAATAAAAAGCAACGTGCGAAACCGGTTTACAGGCTTTAGAGGACGTTCATCTTCAACAACGACCTGTCCTGCAGGACGTACTGTATTACATGGACCGAATATTTACTGTGATCTTCTTCCTCGAGATGTTGATCAAGTGGCTGGCTCTAGGCTTTAAGAAGTACTTCACGAATGCCTGGTGCTGGCTCGATTTTATCATCGTCATGGTAAGTCATGTCTTTTTTTTCTTCGATGCTTTAACCCGATTATCAGAAATATTTGATTTTGTACAACGTGTGCAATTGAGTAGCCTCGTGATTACTGAAAGATGGTGATTCAACGTCTATCCGAAATTTCAATGAAGATTCGAATGCGTGAATTAAAAATTTCAATTATAACAAAAGCTCGATTGCACACTTGACAATTTACGAGAGAGTCTTATCGTTCTCGAATAACTTCATACGCGAATCAATTATTCGTCGTATTGCTTTCGCGTTTGTACATTTACGTCGCTTCGAAGAATAGCAACACGATATCAGTAGCATGTCATCTGATCTTGAAAACAAGTCGTCATTCACAACACGAGATTGCAAAAAAAAGTATCTGTCCGTGCTTCGATAACGAAAATTTAAATACTTGTAAGGATAAACAAAATATATTTGATGATAAATAATTAAGTTTTAAATAAGATTATCAGAGTCGATGCACGGATGATTTTTTTCCTGAACTTTTACCGCGCAAAAAGAAGATCTCTCTCGTTTTTACGATATTTTATCTCCTATCCCCTTCTTTTTCTTTCTCCACTTTTAAAACTTGAACAACTAATGCCGACGTGCGAAGCAATGTGGGAGCCGAGCGTCGAAGCTTCCGGTGGATTTCTCTTAATCGATCGCCATTAAGTATTATTGTAAGAACTGATACATAATATGTCTCGTCTGATGAATATTTGATGAAACTAGCTATCGCTCATCAACTTGGGTGCTGTCTGGGCCGGTGCAGCTGACATCCCGGCCTTCCGTTCCATGAGAACACTGAGGGCTTTGAGACCTTTACGAGCAGTCTCACGGTGGGAGGGCATGAGAGTAAGTCATCGGTCGACGAGGACTTAAGTGAACAATAATGCAAAGAAAAGCCTGATTCGGCTTATCGCAACGACGTTTGATGGATCGTACGGAGCTAACGGATCGATCACGTTATCACGACAGCACGTTTAATTTGTCCGCCGCGCGGACCTCCGATTGACGAGGGACTGCCGGTTATGCATGGATTGTTCCTTTCTATCTATCTCTTTCTCTCTCTCTCTCTCTCTCTCTCTCTCTCTCTCTCTCTCTCTCTCTCTCTCTCTCTTTCTTTCTCTTTCTTCCTCTCAAAGTAGTGACAATATCAGGAACGAGTCGAGACGTGTCGAAATCGTTTTACAGAATCGAAGATTCAAGCGTTGACTCATATACAGCATTAATATAGAAAATTATTTCTAATGCGAAATATTTCTGTGCATACATCATCAACTTTTCTTTACGTAAGTCAATTTTTATCAAACAAGTTTATTTGATGAAAATTAGTAATTTGATAAAAAATATATTTTTACTGGCTCTCTCTAATCTGCTAAACATTTTCATGAGAAAACAATTGTGGAAAAGAAATAATTCCGTTTATCAATGCTGACTATGGAGTCAAAGCGAAAATTAGCGATCTCATAAAACAAGTTGGATCTATTTCGGCTCGATTCCGATCGATTGTTAAATCAGTGATTTAGATAGAGTTTACGATATCGATCCGTTGGACGCAGTACGAAGCTTCGGCTTTTGAAATATCCGTTGTGATAAATGGAAACGAGGTGAAAAAACGGAAATCTTAAAGGGCTAAGCGGGAAGAACAGCTACAGCGAGGATAGCTTGTATTACGGTGTATTATGGTGTACTATGGTGTGCTTACCGATGTGCAGAGATACACTGGCGTCTCTACTTGGTGTCTGCACTGATACCTGCGGTCATTGTCGTATATTACTAGCTAAAGTCGCCTATGTACGCCTTTTCTAACAGTCTCTTGGTACCAATGATCGTTGTGCAAAATATCGAATATTTATACATGATATATATATATATATATATATCTATATATATTATATAAATATGCTTTTTGTGTAGTGTAAAAATTTCCTCGTACGTGTGTGTGTGTGTGGATATACGCGCGCGTGTGTGTGGTGTTACATGCGTCCTTTATGCGCGCAACATGTAATATGTTTATTGAGATCTTTCTTATATCGACAAGATAATTAAGATGTGAGCAAATTTAATTTCTTTCCCGCTTTAATTGATACAATCTTGATTTGTCAAATGTGGTATAGAGCTTTTGTATTTGTCGTGTGCGACGATAAATTAAATTAAAACTCGCTTGATGCGTCGCGATCGCAAGTATGACAAACCTTTTCGTCTGTTTCAGGATGCAGCCGATAGTACTTGCTCGTTATAACGATAATCCCGAGCTGTTTGTCGTTCTATCTATCTCTGTTTCTGATTGCGCGTGTGTGTGTGTCTATATATGAATACATATGTATTTCTTCACGTACACATGTAAAAATATATATGCACATACATACAGTTATGTATATCTCCTGATTACTGTTAATTGCTATATGTGCCGTACCTGGAATCTATTGCCTCTATCTTCCTTGTTTATATGACTGTCGTATTATATTAATGTAATGTGTCCTCTGTTCTATAAGTACCGTTATGAAATTTTTCCTATTTTCTTAGCAAGTTTTAATTTAATTTACATATGCAGCAAATAGATAAGTTTTGCAATACATCAACTATTTTCTAAAAGTTCAGATTTTTTTATGGATATATATTTTGTAATAATTTAAATATCTATCAGTAACTCTGATTATCAATGCTTTTTAAATGCGTATTATTTACATTACCATTTAAATATTATTCTTGGGATTAATTTATGACGTTTACAAAATCTAAGATAATTTATTTATCAATATTGCGTGAAAATATACGCATGAATATCGCGAAGGTGCAAGAGAAAGTTGTTTTCTCAACATTGTGTTAATTGTCTGCTAAACGAAGGATATGCTCTCTATTTTTATGCACGAAAGTGACGGTACTTACAGAATAATGATACCGTAATGTATATATGAGTATTTACATATATATATATATCTATAGCTAGAGAAATATCGAGGCTCTCCACAGATCGACAGCCCCTCGAATTTCTTTGTACAGATATCCAAATGTCTTAATTCGTCGTGGAGTCGAAGGAATACGCAGTAATACGTCGATTTCGTCTTTTGACTTCCTCCCTTCCCCTCTTTCTTTTCATCCTGGCCTTATCCCAATATCCGTGAATCGTCGGAATTGATCAAGTCTATCCCTCACACGTCTGTCTACCTCTCGCTGTGATTCGCTCTCGTTTCTCGCTCGCAGGTATCGCTCATTAACTTCGTAGCGTCGCTCTGTGGCGCTGGCGGGATTCAAGCCTTCAAAACAATGCGGACCCTAAGGGCCCTAAGGCCGCTCAGGGCGATGTCTAGAATGCAGGGGATGCGGGTATGTAGCCCACCGTCTCAGCAGACCTTGTCGCTTGCTCTACGTCTGCCGTGGAGAAAACGGCAGAGTCGATCCCCCTTGTTTAATCCCTTCAATACCGGGGAGTATAATAATGTTTCTTAATCCCCGTCAACGATATTTACCATCGAGGGGAACAACGTCAGGAAGAACATTCTTTTATATATAAATATCTACTTAATCATCGTAAACGAATTTTACTTGAGCTTAATTTATTTCAAGTATAAAGTAAACTGTTGCATTATAGAAAAGTTATTAAACCTATATTATGGAATAGATAAATTTTTTTTTTAAATAAGAATTAATCACAAAATTTAAGATTGATACACAAGTTTTGAAATAACTATTTGATTTTTTTGCAAAATTTTTAGCTAAAATATAAAAACGTGTTACACGTTTCGAGATTACAAAGAGAAAAATTTTATAACATATTCTTGACAGATACAAAAAAAAGTTTATTAATTAAATCTATGTAATTTTTTTCTCATGCGTTATCTTAGCTCTTAATTCATCAAACTCTTGCTATTACGAATTGATTTTTATCTATCGTTTATAAATTATTAAATTGTATTACCATCATTTTCTGTCTCTCACATATTAATACTTATACATTATCTAATTAAATTCTCGCACCAGGAATAATAATTCTCAGATTATATAGACTCAAAAATCATCATTGTTTCCTTTTCTTCCATAAAATTCGACCGATTACGTTTATCAAGAGTCTGCATCGTTGTCAATTATTTTAATGTAGATTGCAAGTAAAAAATTGCGCACTGTAATACCTTATACCACTGAATACCTTATTCTTTAAATATGTGTGTATCTAATTTCATTTTCTAATATTTTTTGAACGTATATAAGTTAAATAGAATGGATGAATCATTTATATGTAATGCAAATGCAAATGACATTCTTTATCAAGATATTATCTTCGTAAAATACATAAAAATAATTTCGTATAAATTTTTATTATAATTTAAAAATATGTAATATCTGTGACATTCGGTGATACCGACTCTTGAAAAACTGCAAGATCGTCGATCTGGAATCGACTAAAACACAATATTACATTTTCTTCCTGTTGCACGGGAACATGCTAAAATAGAGGCAGTCGCGAATGCACGGCAGAGCTTAAAAATGCGAATGCGTGAAGCAGCGCGTAGATAATTCGTCGTTCACAACCGATCAACACTACACTAATCGAAAAACACGCAAATAGAGCATAGAAACACGCGCTTTCATCTTTACATTATCATTGATACACGAGTCGTATACTATCCCACCTTCGCGCGAAAATATTTATACATAATAATATTTATAGCAGTACATTTAAACGTGAAGATCAAAATGGAACATCACGTGTATCTGACTTTGTATATCACAAGCCTGATAATAGTGCGTGTGACAGCGTTACACTCTGGAAACTCTGGACATACACAAACAAAAAATTTAACCGTATTAAATTTCTATTCATATCGCATTTAGGATTAAATATAATCGAATTTTGAAATATATTTATATTCGATGTATCGTTACAAGTATTATTTCGGTCAGTAATATTTTAAATCAGTAACGTTTGCAGTCGAATGTGCGATATGAGTATACAAAGGGATACTTTATTCATCTCTCATAACGTGTAGTGAAGGCTCGCCTTTTATGATAATCGCGACGAATCTCCTCGCAAATACTCATACTTATGTCACATACTCGCAACACAAGGTCGCTGAGACACTGGGTTGTAGTAATTACTGTCATGCCCACGCCCTGACACTTCTTCTATTTTACAGTAGATCGCTGCAAATCGCTCCTCGGAGCACTCAATATTTTATTTCTTGAGTTTTGCTTTTGCACGAGACCACGAAGGTAGCAGGATGCGATTGTTTCCGAATTTACAGGATTCATATGTTTCCCAGGAAACACACTTTAATTCGTGCATAAATCGAAAAGAGAAACTTTTTGATAAATAAATGCAATTGCAGTAATTCTGGGAAACATATTAATCACACGGATCGCGTAAGTTATCTATAGAATTCTAAGTTGCTCTTCTTTTTCAAATATTATATACTGAATGTCCTGAGAGAGGAGGAAAAGTACTAAATTTTTTGAAAAAGAGGCTAGATTTTTAAGGGAAATTATTTATCTAAGACATTTAGCGATTATGGGTGGATTGTCCATTTCTCGTCATAAAATATCGTAATAATTATTCCTTAAGCGAAATTAAAAAGATAAGGTCTTTTACCGAATAATAATATAAGCTGCATAATTTGGCTTGCTTATTAATGTTCGATGTTTAAAAAAAAAGCTGCTTAATTAAATATTCGACATAATTTAGGGAAACACCTAATAAATTATGCCCAAGTGAGAGCCCGCGTTATTCGTGTATATTTTTGTGGGATATTCTGTATATAAATTGCTTAGATACGTAGTATTTGCAACTGGATTGCTTAGTAGACATGAAAATCGAATGCTTGCTTGCTTTCGTCAGCTTTTCGTTCGTGCTGTAACTTGCGCTTGCTTTACATGTTGATCTTGCCTGTGGCTTTCTTTCTTTAGTACACCCGAGTATGGAACTTGTAGATATAAATTTACACGATGCGCGTTATCATCACTGATCCATGATCAATCAAAGTCACAGTTACATATTATATTTAATTATATTAATTGTAGTTAACATCCCACTTAAATTACAATTTACATACACACTAATGAAATTACATCTAAATTAACTGCTCGTATAATGATCCGTGCATTATTAAAGTAAGGAAATCATTTAATAATAAATATTATTTTTCTGTATAATAAAAATAGATTTTTTGGTGTGTATGTAAATCAAGATCCGGAAAGTATTACTCAAATTCTAATTTATTTGGTAGACATTTGCTTATAATAATCGTATATTTCGATTAATTAGGGCTACTTAAAAGTGCCTGTAAAGCTAAAATATCACGCACAGAATTAAGTTACTGCACAGAGGAACGCAATGTAGAAATAAATCTTTTATTCACGATTAAATTTTGATTCTATTTTGTAATAATATTAAATTTCGAGCGAATATTATTTTATAAAGAAAATTATGATATATAATAAATTAATCGGATTATTTATTCAAGTATTATTAGAATAACATTTTATTTCAAATTATTTCATTAAAAAAATTCAACATTATTAATGTTTTTAACGATCATAAATTTAAAAAATATATATATTTTTCCTTACTTGAAATATAGGATAGCTGTATCAGATTAATTTTTTTATGGGGTAAATAAATTTTTCGCAGTTTTAGTCTTAACACGAGCACATTAAGCGTATAGCGCGTGACACAATCGCATATAAATAAGAGCATAGATGCAGAAATTCTTAGCGAAATGTCACGAGTCTGATATCGCGTCTAATCGAATTTCGTCTCTCATAGGTAGTCGTTAATGCCTTGGTCCAAGCCATTCCATCCATCTTCAACGTATTGCTGGTATGCCTTATTTTCTGGCTTATATTCGCTATCATGGGGGTGCAGCTGTTTGCTGGCAAATATTATAAGGTGAATATATTTTTATTATTACATGCGAATAGAAATCGATAATCGATTTTCAGAAGAAAGACAAATATTCGTTATTCTTTAATTTTTAAGGGGATAAGTGAGGGATGATACCTTAAGCATAGTTTTCTTAAAAGCTGTTCTGAAAAAGGGAAATAAAAAGTCTAACCCAGATGTTCAAAAGTTTTAAAATTCATTATTTTTACATTCTTCTGTTTCACAAGGATACAACTAATGCAAAAACTATAATATAATAGAATATATTAGTAAAAAATATATAACTATAAAATTAAAATTTTGTTCTGAGGATATTCTGAGCATTCCACCCACCAATTTGAGTATTCTTTAGACTATCTACGCATTTAAAAGCTAAATAATTCTCGTGATTTATTTTTAAGAGACTTTTCTTTCCAAATTAGAATTTGATTCAAAAAGTAAAAACGTCATGTTATATAATTTCACTTTCGTTGCAGTGTGTCGACGCGAACAAGACGACGCTCAGCTACGAGATAATACCGGATCGTAACGCTTGCAATACCGAGAATTACACGTGGGAAAATTCGCCGATGAATTTCGATCACGTCGGGAAAGCGTATCTGTGCCTATTCCAAGTGGCGACTTTTAAAGGATGGATTCAAATTATGAACGATGCGATCGACTCTAGAGAAGTGAGTATAATCTCACAATTTTTACATTTTTTATCGATATACATGTTGTAACACGTCGCTCAATCATTTACAGATCGATAAGCAACCAATTCGCGAAACGAACATTTACATGTATCTCTACTTCGTGTTTTTCATTATATTTGGATCGTTTTTTACCCTCAATCTGTTTATCGGAGTGATCATCGACAATTTTAACGAGCAAAAGAAGAAAGCTGGCGGATCCCTCGAGATGTTCATGACGGAAGATCAAAAGAAATATTACAACGCCATGAAGAAAATGGGCAATAAGAAGCCTCTAAAAGCCATTCCTCGACCGAGGGTAAGTTATATAAATAATAAAGACATATATATATAATAATAGAATAAAATTTGTTTCCACTAATCCTTTTTTTCTAAAAATAAATTCAATATAAGTGTGTGTGCTACACAATTTATCATTTATTCAAATATCGAAATTTGAATTTGAATTACAAAATAAAAATGGCAAAGACTCTAATTATTCACATCTAATTATTTCTGTAATAATTTTTCCGCTAAAACGTGTTGATAGATTTAGGATTAATTAATTTAAATAAATAAATTTCTCATCCCAAAAAAAACTCGTAATTAATTTTATATAATTAATTACATATAAATAAAACCTAGACTGATTATTTTTGTTAAATAATAATATCGAGTTTTTATTACGCACATAGAAATTAAAAAAATAAGATATTGTTCAAAAAAAATCAACGGATAGTTATATCTATATATAATTTATGATCAAATATTTATATTAATTTATTCTAGCCAATCCACATCTTAAAGCAATAAATCTGTGAATTATTATATTCAACTGTAATATTTTAATGCACTTTAATTTTTAATTTCTACTTTAGATGTAATAGAAAATAATTAAATAGTAACATATAAATCATACATAATGTCATTATAAGTATATAAACTTTATTATTATTACTATTAATGTATAGAAATGTATAGAAATGTAAAAATTTCTATGAGAAAATTAAGAAAAGATGTTTAATTCTTTGATAGAATTAATAATTTGATAGAAGATTTTTAATTCTTTTTCTAAAATATTTTTCATTTTATGTATAAAATTTATACAATTCTCTAATATAATTTTCACAAATTCATTACCCCAAAATTAAAAAAATGGTTCAGCACTCACCGATACGATACATAGCAACGGAGTTGTAGTAGAAGTTAATCTATAAAAACATAAATATGCACAAATTATAGAACACGTAAAATAATTAATATTTCAAAAAATAAATTTCATCGACCAAATACGTAAGAAAAATATTAATCCCCGAAATGTTTTTTTTAAATACAAACTTTTAAAAATAATATATTTAACAAAAATCAAATTCGTAACTTTTCACAAATAATTCAAACAAATGCTAAATATATTTAATATTTTCACATGTATCTATAAATAAATGTTTCTTAAAATAAAAAAATATTTTATCTATTATATTTTTATTATACTTCTATTATATTGTACGAAATTATCCATTCGGAATTAATCATGATGACCACAGATTAATTTTGCAAAAATAATAAATGTATATTGTTACATTACTCACCTCGGGGTTGCTCCGTCGATGCCCGATGCCTCTCAAGCTTGCTCCTCCTTTCAGATTCTTTCGTTATTTCTTTCGGCACACACACACACACACACACTCACACACTCACACACTCGCGAAAATTTTATTACGACCGTAATCATCATGATTAATATATGTAAGTACATACATCAATCACGATAATTACGCGATACTTTTCACGACACTACCGACGCTAATCGCGTGCTTTGTTGTAAACAACGAGAAAACGCGCAAACAGAACAATTATAATGTGGAACAATGATCCGTTCGGCACTCACGGTCAGCGCGGCGTCTCGCGAATTAACGTAATGGCGACTCCGTAACGGCAAAGTAAATTCGAAGATTGCGCGGCCAACTTCAGACGCCACTTCCAACCGCGACGGTGCTGCATCTACTGCTACTAGTTTCACTTCGTACTTTTCCGCTCCTTGAATAAGCCATGATAATCGCATGTTTTTCAGAACAATTACATTCGCTTATGTATTATAAGTGGATAAATTATGGGACTTGAAATCAAAAACGAATATCCGGGGAATACAATATCTGGAAATATGGTTATTATATCGCTTTGTCGAGCATTAGCGTGATCAACTTCGATCGAATAAATCTCGCGAAATACGCGTCGTAACGTTTCACCCAAATACAAACGACGAACTTACTGATACGTAGTTAATAAATATTACATATATTTAATTAGAAGTATAGTTACTAATTAAACGCGTTGTATCACCGCTCGACTCCGAATCGGTCCGTTCTATACCTCGGCCATCTGTGAATAACCGACAAATTGGGAAGTGAAGTTGGCAACTTTATGAATACCACACGACGCAAAATTAATGATCGATTGAAACGCGGTGGACCGTCCAAAAATGAAATTCAAGAACTCACGCGCGATACATTTTGAAACGCAAAAATTAAATGAAATGACATGAAATACATACATACATTATTTAACAAATAATCGTATTACGCCTTTTCATTACTCGACTTATTCGATCCGATTCAGATATCTCACTTCACGCTCTGGGAGACAAATTATATATTCAAACCGACGTAAAATTCAACGCGGATTGCATGCGATTAAAGTATCATTGTAGAAATAACTCGCCCACAGGTATGACTATAATTAAACGACGATAATTTATGATTCCTGTCTACTTTCGCTTCGATAATAATTACTCTCAATAAACTATTTGTGCGAAATATCAGCGCTTCGATACGAAGCGTCGAGTGGATACGTGTGGGATCGTTAACAGGAGTTGAATGATCGTTCGATTGATGAATGATATTCGTCAAGTATTGGTACAGAATAATCGTGTTTGGAGCTTTGTTGTATCTCCTGTAATCGCGTTTTGAGAAATAATACGACGTAGGCGACACGCCGCTACCGGTTCGCCCGAGTGTCGGCACGCGAATGCGAATATTGAGAATGGCACTTGGTAGTGCGGTGACCTTGTTATTATGTATGACGCGGCGCGCCGTTACGCTGCGCGCCGAGCTACGTAAACAAATTCGAAGGCCGCATGCCAACCGATTCGTTGACTACAAAATTGTAACTACATAATTGAAAATTACGAAATGTATCGAATATTTTATTCCTTGCGTTTCACATTACTTACACATTACTTACTGTTAGGAATGTAACCACGAGCTTCCTTTACACATAAATGAAGCTGGTGATTATGAATGAAATTAAAAGTAATGATTTAACTGAAAATTAAGTTACAGTAAAGTTACTTAAATTGAACGTGCACATTAAATTTATGAAATTTTAATGTACTTTTAATAAAATTTTATGAAAAATACATTAAATTTCATGTACATGTACACAAATATACTTTTTAGTTATAAATACATTAAATTTAATGTAATGTCATGAAATTAAATTCAAATTGTGTTTTATTAACTTAAAAGTTAATAAAATTTGAGAACATTTCTAACAGTGTAATTTCAATAGATTGTTACATTGTCGAAGCACGTTTCTCGATTTGTTTTGTGAACTTGTTAACGTATCACTTGACGATTAATTTCGTACAATGAAAATGTTTTGAAAGGGATTATTATTTAAATCTGAATGCGAATGTTACAATTTGATGTGCTCTGATAGTGTACTTTAACTCGTGCCTATGAATTGTTTAATTTTTTTTATTTAAAACTTTGTGAAGGATTGATTTTATTATTTAAAAAGAGAGAGAATTATTAGATTTAATATTTAGATGAAAAATAATATAACATTTATTTGAATGGAAAGTATATATACGCTGGGAAAAGTCTTGTTGTATTAATTAGAATTCAGATTCAATTTAAAAGGTACAAATGAGACATTTATAGTTAAATCTGTCGAATATTCTTTCGAGATAACTAAAATTCTGATTCATATGATTAAAATAATTCGTTTTGTTTGTACTTTTTTTTGGCATAACTGGAATATTTTTCTCAATATGTTTATACTTCGCTGTATGAAAAGAACGATTTTAAAATATCTAAAAAAAAAAAATTATTTTTTATTGCACCATCAAAATAATTATGTAGAATATTCGAACTATAGTTACTAAAATATCAATATTTTTTACAGCTTTTAATATTTTTTTACACCATAGAAATGAACAAAGTTGCAATTTTAATATTAAAAAAATATCCTAAAAATGTAGCGACGTTGGTAACGGTTATAATTTATTGTAATTAATTTGTCGATAGCAATTGACTTTGCGCTCTCTATAATATACAATAAATTAAAAAATGAAGGCAGAAAATAAAATCTTGTGCTGCAAATATAATGTATAAAAATAATGGAATGCGAATTTATGTGCATCACGTTATTAATTTTACTTTCATATAAATCTTTTATTTCAATATATATATATATATATATATATATATATATCTAATATAATAAAGTATTAAGAAAATATTTTAACATTAAGTTAAATAACATGTAATAAGGAAAATTTAATGCATAAATCGATATAATATTTTTTTATATTATTTACAGTGGCGGCCGCAGGCAATAGTGTTTGAAATAGTGACGGACAAAAAGTTCGATATGATAATCATGTTGTTCATCGGGCTGAACATGCTCACGATGACGATGGACCATTATCAGCAGAGCGAAACCTTCGGCAATGTTCTGGACTATCTCAATATGATATTCATTGTGATATTCACCAGCGAGTGTCTCATGAAGATCTTCGCTCTTCGCTACCACTATTTCAAGGAGCCATGGAATCTCTTTGATTTTGTTGTTGTTATATTGTCAATATTAGGTAATGTAATGTAATGGTTGCTCCAGTCGTATGACCCGAGTGAAACAAAAGTGAAATATGAAAAAAGAGCCGGGCCTGTTAGCTTTCCTTCTTGCTACTCGATTCAGAAGAATGATATTATATTCGCCTATAGTATACTTTTAGACTAGTATTCTATCTCACGAGCGAGGACAAATTGGCATGCCACGCTGTCATGGTTTTCTCTGCTATATTTTTCACGCACGTAGAATCTCTTTTTTCAATCAAGCGGACAGGCCTAACGTTTCGCTCGTGTCTCAACGACTGATGGATATCATTACGTTATGTAGCCTTACATTGATGTTGAATTTATTTCCCACCGTGCCAATCCTATCCCATCACCTTACTCGTGTCCTTCCCAAGTGTTGTTGGTGTCCAAAGTCGAATTGCTGTGCTTTCAGCGTTACTTTGTGTCGCATCTCAAACGAGAATCGTGATAAAAGTAATTATTAGTAATACAAAGTAATTATTCAGAATTAATGATTGATAAATAAATTATTAATTAGAAATTATGATTAATATTGAAGAATTTTAAATTGCGAAAATAATTATCACAATGTAACGCTTTCCACGAGCCATTCGACATATTTAATTGATGTTGCAACAATCAATTAATTGAAGTTTCCTGGTAAGATCGGGTCTGTATGAAATAGAAACTTTAGGGTTTCACTTATTATCAGAATATATAGATTTTATAGAATTTTTCTCTTTTCGAATGACAGTAGTGAGAAATTTTTAACATATTCAAAATTTATCTTTTATAAGGCACCGCATAACTTTAATTAGATTATGATAGAGAGAGAGCTTTTATATTTCATTAATTAATTTCCATATACGCTTTCTATGATTTTATAAGAGTTCTAGCCGAAGTTTCAAGAATCTATTATCCGAGTCCTTAGGACGCGCATGAATTTTTTAATAATCTAACATTTTCGATACAACTCTCTGACGCACATATTTTCTAGAAGTGAACAGAGTGTAAAATATGAATGCTCGTATCTCGCGAGAATTTATTTATTTTCTATTGAAAGGAAAAATACGATTTTTAGATATTATTTTTCGTATGATGTAACTAGCCTGCTAGAAAAATACAAATGATTTTTATAGAGATGTACACTTGAAGTCCTATATCTTTCTAAATCGCACTCTTTTTTTACTAACTACACTAGTTACATAATTAGATAATACAACCGCATGATCCAACCCGAACCCGTTAGTATGATGATGCATGAGATTTTCAGTAATTATGAATGAATTAAGTGTATCGTTTATGTGCCATAAGTGACATCACCGCACCCTCGCTTAATCCTTGATGTTAATTCGAGCTTGAAGAATTGCTCTCGAAGTTGCTGAAATGTGAATTTTCATTCCGACAGGTCTGGTGCTCAGCGACATTATTGAGAAATATTTCGTGTCGCCGACTTTGCTTCGTGTAGTAAGAGTGGCAAAAGTCGGTCGTGTGCTTCGACTCGTAAAAGGTGCCAAGGGTATCCGAACCCTTCTCTTCGCCCTGGCGATGTCGTTGCCAGCCCTCTTCAATATTTGCCTACTGCTGTTTTTGGTGATGTTTATCTTCGCGATATTCGGGATGTCTTTCTTCATGCACGTCAAAGACAAGAGCGGACTGGATGACGTGTATAATTTCAAGACATTTGGGCAGTCGATGATACTGCTGTTTCAGGTAACTAAGTTATTAATCTTAATTTGAGCTTTTATATAAAAATTTGATATATTTACTATTTTGATAACATATCATAAAATCTATTTTCCAAAAAATTTTAAAATCTTACAAGTAAATGAAAAAGTGTCTATTACGTTGATATATTAAAGATATATTAAAGAAAAAATGTGTCTTTAAATTATCTGTTATTAAAAATTCTATCATCAATTATAGTGTATTATCGTGTAATGTATAATTATGATAATGTTATTGGTACAGATGTCAACCTCGGCCGGTTGGGACAGTGTTCTCGACGGTATAATAAATGAGGAGGACTGCCAGGAGCCGAACAACGAGATCGGCTACCCGGGCAACTGCGGATCCTCGACGATCGGGATCGCTTACCTACTCTCGTATCTCGTGATCAGTTTCTTGATTGTCATCAACATGTACATCGCCGTGATCCTCGAGAATTACTCGCAGGCCACCGAGGACGTGCAGGAGGGTCTGACGGACGATGACTACGACATGTACTACGAGATTTGGCAGCAGTTTGATCCGGACGGCACGCAATACATCAGATACGACCAGCTGTCAGACTTCTTAGATGTATTGGAGCCCCCGTTGCAGATACATAAGCCCAATAAATATAAGATCGTGTCGATGGATATCCCCATATGTAAGGGAGACCTTATGTTTTGCGTGGATATCCTCGATGCCCTCACCAAGGACTTTTTCGCACGGAAGGGCAATCCAATCGAAGAGACGGGCGATCTGGGCGAGGTCCAGGCTCGGCCCGACGAGGCCGGTTACGAGCCGG